ACAGGGTGTTCAAGACCCTGGGGTCTGGGCAGCTCTGGGACCCCTGCCCACAGACTCCATCGGGCTCATCTGCTTCCCTGGTGGATGGGGGTGGGGTTCCCAAGTCCACAGAGCCCACTCTTGTGCAGCAGGAAGGTCTGGGGGGCAGTGCCACGTTTGATGCCTGGCACGTCCCCTCCCTGCTCAGGGGCCTGGACATGTAGTGTGGCCTCTCAGAGCCATGGCTTCCCCTTTATCTGGAGGAGCTGACCAAGCCTGGCCCTTGTGGCCCGGAGTGTCCTGGGACTGAGGTGCCAGGAGCGGCACTAGGAGAGGAAGGCACAGCTTGGGTAAAGGTGTGGACGGGGACAGGGCACATTTGCCTTGGGACTCTGTGGCTGCACAGGGTGGGGGTCAGGGAGGATTCCTGGAGAGGATGCTGGGAGCAGGATGTGGTCACCCAAGGTGCGAACTGCCGGCAGCTGGTTTGTAGTGGGCGGTGGGGATGGAGTCTGGCTGGGCCCCTGGCTCTGCTCCGGACCCCCGGTCGTTCCGGGCCTGCCCGGTGCTGGCTGAGCTCATGCAAGAGGCACTTTGTCCTTGGGAATGGTCCAGGCCCGCGGAGACGGCAGGGATCCTCGCGGCTGGTTGCTGAGCAGCCTGTGACTGCTTGCTCTTCACCGCATTGCAGTTTCAGGGTCTGCACAGTCATTTACCCTGAGAGCCAGTGTGTGGGTAGGAATGGCAGCCTGCATGGAGGGCACAGCTTTGAGTCAGGGTGTGGCGGGGAGAAAGCCTGCAGGTGTGCGCGTGCAGCCTCACTAGTAAGGGCTGGGGCGCTGGTTCCCTCCAGTCCTGCCCCACAAGGCCGTCTCAGGACCCCTTCCCCAGGCAGGACCGGTGTGGCCTGGACTTGTCACCCTGAGGCGGAGGCGAGATCAGCTGGTGAAGGTGCCTGTGGGTGATTAGCTCCTTGGTTCACCTGTTCAGTCATGCCCATGAGGGGGTGCGGGGAGTGTGGGACTTCCAGGGGTGGTCCCTCTTAAGCCACGGGCCCCCACTTCGCCTCACAGCAGCAGTGCACACCCGTCGCTACAGCTGGCTCTTCCTCACTCAGGCACCCGCATCTCAGGAGGGGCTCGAGTGGCTGTGGGTGTTTGTCTCGGGGGGGCAGGCTGCTCCAGCATCTGTGAGGGACTTTGTGTCCCTGTCACTGTGATTCTGTGTGTGGGGTGGTCTCTGAGAGGGGGCTTTGTGATTGTGTCACTGTGAGTCTGACATGGGGGAAGCCCTTGCAGGTAGGGTTTAGATGGGCCCCCAGCCCGTCTGTCCCAGTCTCTCTGGCTAATTATTGCTCCCCCCCGGCCTCCTTGGGGCCTCAGGGTCCACGAATGGGGGGCCCCACCCCCACACCACCACTCAGGGTGTGAACTGGGGTGCCACCTGCACCGAGGAGGGAAGTGAGATGATGGGGACCCTGTCCCTGAGCAGAGCGGTTATATTTGGGGGTCTGTCTCCCTTTCTCTCTGGCTCTCAGGAAGTCTCCGTTTCTGGCACTGAGGGGTTCGCGTTTGCCAGGAAAGGGGGGCAATTGATCCATGTGGCTTTTCTGGAAGCTTCTTGCATCCCTTTCCTGGACCCCTGTGGGGACCAGGAGCATAAGACAACAGGGCACAGACCAAACAGGAGCTCTGGCCCCCAGGGCCTGGGGAGCCTGGGCTACAGGCAGGTTCACTGACAGAAGCCCAAGAGGGTGCCTTCCGCCATCACCTCCATTTTACACGAGGAAACAAAAGCAGAGAAGTGATTTGATCAGGGTCACACCGAGAAAAAAATGACGGGCCTGTGGGGGTGGGGGCCCTGGTTGGGGGCAGAGGAAGGAAGTGACCTGTGGCCTATAGTTCCAATCTTTGTTCAGTCCATGGAACTGGCTCACTGCCTTCAGTTTGCCTCCAAAGGAGCTGGGGAACAAGGGGTGAGATAACTCACCACACCCCACATCTGCCTCTGCTCCCCAGACATCTGAGGGCTGGGGCCCCAGGCACCCACCCAGCTACTCACCCATCCGTCTGACAAACCCTCCCTAAGGACCTCCTCTGGGCCAGACCCGGTGCTGGGCCCCAGCTGGGAACACGGCTTGGTGCCCTGTCCCCACCCCCAGAGGAACTCCCAGTCAGATGGCGGGGGCAGCTGCATCATCAGGAAATTATGGCTGGGCCTGATAAGCCCTGTGCAGAGGGAGAGGCACAGGAATCGCACTAACCACGATGTGACCAGAGAAGGCTCCCTGGAGGAGGGGAGGTTTTCTCTGCTGAGAGCTGCAATGGGAGAGAGCGCGTGGGCTGGGCAGGTGAGGGTCTGAGCCCCAGCTCTACTGGGCTCCCTCCTCTGTGGCCAGGACAAGTGATTCTACCTTTCAGGGCACCATTTCTCCATCTGTAACATGGGGTTGGTACAGTGCTGTTGTGGGGCATCAAGAGCCTTCTCCTCAGCCCGTCCTACCCCCTGGCCGGCTGGAGCCCTGGGAGGCCGGGCCACGGTCCCATTTCCTCCGTCCCCGCCCTGATCACATTCCTTTAAGTATTCCTGTCACTTCTCTGTAGCCTTCGTTGGAGTGGGGTGTCTGCTGTGGGGCCATATCCTGTGCCCCCAGCCTTCACGATATCTGGCAGACAAAAGGCCTGTGATATTTGTTGTAGGAGTGAAATTGAGCACCCACGACCTACCAGGCACTGTGCTTGCTGCTGGGGATGCCACGTGAGCAAGACAAGTCCCCACAGAGCCCATTTCACAGGTTGATAAATGCAGTGAAGGAAGTGAAGAGGGTTATGTGATGGTGACTGTGTGTATTTAGACATTGTAGTCAGGGAGGGCCTTCCTGAGGAGGTGACGCTTAAGCTGAGACGAGCCAGATTTGTGCACATGTGGGGGACTTGCCTGCCAGACCGAGGGAACAGTGGTGCAAAGGCCTTGAGGTGGAGTGTGCTGGGTACGTTTAAGGAAGTGGAGGCTGGAGCAGAGGGGTTGAGGTGGTACGAGGCCTAGATTGTGCAGAGTCTCGTGGGTCACGGTAAGAACTGGGGCTCCCACGTCTGGCGAGATGGGGCCCACGGGGGAAATCTGAGTAGAGGAGGGGGATGGGAGGTAGCTGAGTGGATGGATCTGGGAGTAGGACGGATGGATGGCAGCTCAATTTTGATGCTGCCCACCTCAGGGAGTTCAAGATGTCACCCTGTTTTCCGACTCCTCACCCTATGTGGGAATTCCTTGTGAGCCATCTCAGCCCCCACCGTTCTGCCCCCATGGGGTGGTATGTGCCTGCCCTCCTCATCTGTGGCTCCCTGGTGCCTGGGGGAGGAGGTGGGCGTGGCCTTCCCCAGCTCTCCTCAGGTGCCAGTGGCTTTCACATCCACCTGGGGCTGTGTTAAGGGGCTCATGTCCTGAAGCTGCAGGCCAGCTGGCTGTGATGCATTCTCTGTACTCTGTGTCTGTGTGTGTGTCTCTCTCTCCCTCTCTCTCCTCTCCCCCTCTCTCCCCGCTGTTTTCTTAGCCTTGTCTCATTTATGAAGGGATAAAACACCACCTCAAGGGCTGTTGTGTTTTTTTTGGGTGGGGGGTCATGGGAGGCTTCCCTACTACTCGTCTTCAGAGAGACGGACCAAAGCAGACTGGGGAGGGCTTTCTCACCAGAGTGTCACCATACTTGATATCAAGGACTGTTCTTTACTCTGGAACCTTCCTAGTTCCTTGGTCCCAGCCCCTCTTCTTTCATATGTTCTTTTCTGTAAAACTGGAAAAAATTTTGAAATGGTGCTAACCTGTGAATTCAATAGCCCACAAGCCACTGGTGGACAGCCCGGGCACATAGTAGGTACTCACTAAATGGTGGTGTGAGGGGTCTGTTAGCATTTCTAGCCACAGTTGACTCCCCTGTGGATTCGGCTGTCGTTTTTGGCCTCTGGGTGTTGGCTCCTTCTAGCCCCGTAAGCTTCCAAAGCCTTTCCCTCTACCTTTTCCACTAGGGCGTGTTCAGCACACTAAACTTAAAGCCACTTTGTGCCCTGCTGAAGACACAAAGATGGAGAGGGAGCAGGGAGGCCTGCCGGAGCACATGGTCAAGTGGTGGGTAGACAGCCGTGAGAGCTGACTGCAGTGGGCTGGGGAGTGACCACGGGGGCTGCTTCTTCAGACTGGGTTCCTAAGCTCATCCTGGCCTTGTACCATCTGCCTGGACCTTTCCATACCTGCTGCGAGCACCTTCGTACACACTGCACTGCTAAGCTCTCATGGGACAGTGGTGACATTATCACACCTTACACAAGTACAGAGGCTAGGGGAAGTTGAGGCAGAGCTGCGATTCCAGGCCAGGACCAATTCCCAAAGCCCGTTGGGGGTGGGGGGCTGTGCTGCGCTGCACTTGTGCAGACCCCAGAGAGGTTTCTGAGCAGGATGTTAGGTGATCAGTCTGGGGAACACATGGGTTCACAGGTTGCTCTGCTCCAGTCCTTCCCAGAGCCTCTAATGGACTGCTGTGCACAAAAGCTGACTTTTCTTGGAGAACCCCTCTTTGCATTGGCTCCCAGGAAGCTCAGAGACAAACCTGTGGCAAGTGGGACTATGGTCTGTGTTCTAGCACTTCTCTCCCTCCCTCTCTCTGCTTATCCCTGTAACCTGACTAAAATCCTTTTTGGAACAAAGACGGGGGGGCGGGGGGTGTTTCTGTTTGTTTTTTTATTGGGGAATTGGGGAAGGGGAACAGACAAGATGCTGTCATTTTGTTCTTCAATCAAGTTGTGGAGGACGTTGCTTCAGTTGGCACCATCATTGCGCTCTTCCCAGGTGAGGCAGATCAGTCGCCGGCTTCTGGACGGCCACTCATTGCGGCTGCTGGCCACACACGGCAGCCCATTGCCACAGGGGCTGCAGCCTACGCCGTCACCAGCGACTCACGGCAGCCCAGCTCCAGGTTGAGCTGTTGTTCAGCATCTTAGCTGTGGAGGGCAGTGTCACTGGCCCTCACTCATATGTGGGATCCGAACCGGGGCCCTCTGGCGTCCCAAGCCAGTTCTTAACCATTGCGCCACTCGGGCGGCCCTGTTTGGTTTTTTAGGTTGGTGTAAGCATTTTCCAGAATGACGTTTCATCTGTTTGTTCATTTGTTCATCCAGGCAGCACCCATTTGGGCTCTGGGGTGAGGGGGGACCCGGCTATTTAGGACAGGGCCCTGGAATTTTTTCTAAGCCTGTTAAGTTTTCAGGCCCACATCCATTCCCCTGCTCCTGGTGTGTCAGCAGGATCTGCTTACTGTCCCCACATACACTGAGGCTGTAGTTGATGCCGTGCCTGATACCACAGGCAGTAAGGGGCGGGCCAGGGCTTGGACCACCTCTAGAGCCAGGCTCCAGGCCACAGAGATGACCCCTTGAGGACTTGGGTGCTGGGCAGAGGCATGTGGCTACATGCTATGTTCTACTTCCTGCCCCCCTGCTGCTCATTGTAGGAGAGGAGTGAGGGGCTGCTGTGACCTGCGGGATTCCAGATGGTGGGCGGTCTCTCCTCGAGGCTTTAGCTCGAGGATAAGGGGCCCTTCAATGGCCAGGCCTGGCGCAGTGGATGGAACATAGCCATTGTGGGAGCCCAGCCTGCCCATACTGTTGGGCCCACCGTACCAGGCCCTTTGCTGCCTGGGGAGTTAGATGCCATCTGCCCCACAGCTTCCTGCAGAGGCGGTGATCAGAGCTGGGTCTGGCCCACGAGCCTGCTTGTGTTGAGGGATTCAGCATGTGCCCGGTATCTGCACACCCAGCTGCCGCTTCCACATGCAGCTTCGGAATAAGCCCCAGCCAAGACCCCCTGGGGACTTCTGGGGCCTACTGTGACCACCTCACTGTGGGACACAAGTCCTGTCAGCCTCCTCGTGTCCATGTGCTTCCCACCTTAGGGCCTCTGCAAAACCCCCGTTCCTCCCAGCCCCTGGGATGCTCAGCCCTGCTCTCAGCGTAGCCGAGGCCAGTCCTCCGCTGCCTCCCCACCTGCCCGTCTGGGCCCTTACTGTCTCCTTCCTGTGGAGCCTCCATCTCCCTTGCTAGAATGGAAGCTTGGAGAGTCAGGGACTGTGTATTGCGTTCTTGCTGTGGCTCCGGCACCTGGAGCTCGGTGAGGTCTTGTCCAGTCCCTCTGCTGGGGTCTCCAGGGTACTCAAGACGCTTGTGAGGACATGGCAGGGTAGGGCGCAGCCCAGTACCTTGCAAGACTTTGGAAGGGCCACCCCTCCCTGCCCTCGGCCCCTTCGGCAGCAGGTTGTGGGACCGATGGCGGGTGAAGGTGTGGGGCCCCAGAGAGGTAGGTAGGGAAGGTCTGGTTCCAGCCGGGCCCAAAGGCCCACCGGTGGGCGCACAGGGACCCTTGAGTCAGGAGTCCGAGAACCGGGTGAACATGTGGGTTGAGGCACAGCTGTCCGTTCCACCCTCCAAAAGTGTGAGACAACAAACCTAGAGCCAGAACTCCACCTGGTGTTACGCAGAAGCACATGCCCAGCTTTAGTGCCCACTGAATAGAGTGACTGTCCTTCCAGGCCTCACCCTGCCCTCCGGCTCCTTCATGTTCTTGATCTCTTCTAAACAAACTCAGAAGCACCCGAGTGGTTCACTGTGTTGTCTGCACAGTCCCAGAGAAGTACATCTTACTTTAATGCGAACTACAATACATTCCGTTGTTTGCCCTTTGTCGTAGGGTATGTAGGCAGGTAGGTGACATTATGCTGACTTTCACTGCAGGATGGTAAAGGAGTAAATAGGGTCTGTAAGGATGAAAGAGCGGGTGTGGGAAGCTGTGATACTAGGGTGCTGTCGTGTGAACGCTGCAGCATTGGAACGCTGTGGGACCGTATTCGTGTAGTGAGCCGACAAAAGCTGCACACCTTGGCTGGCCTCAGACCCAAGCCTGGAAACCTAGTACCAGCTAGTCACCATACCAACCCTGTGAAAAGAGAGGTGCTATTAAATAGCTCTACCTTACAGATGATCAAGCTAAGGCAGGAGGGCTGGGCCCTTATCCAGATTACCCAAGTCAGGACTGAACCCTAAAGCCTTGAGTGAGAATTATAGAGCCCAGATACAGTTAGCTGTAGAAATGTAAGTAAGCCCTACTGTGAGGAGAGTCTCTGCTCTGGCTGCTAGGAAGCTCAAAAACCAGCTAAGAAACAAATAGATTATTCCCACTGGAGTCACAGTAGCCAAAAGCAAGCAGCCAGCTTTTGAAATGCTAGGAGCTGAGAAGACTTGCTCCCCAGTAGCGGGTGCTGCAGGATGTGGTGGGTGACATTCTATTTGTACCACAAATATCTGGAGTGGTTTGGCCATTTTGATCACCTGAGCACAGTGTGACTAGGAGGGGGGTTCAGAGAGTAGCTGCTTGCTGGCCTGGCAAGGCAGGTGGAATAGAGGGCGTGTGAGAAGAGGGGAACCTGAAGTCCCTAAGTGGTCCTATAGCTGCTGACACAGCCCAGCTCTGTCTCATCACATCACTCAACCAGGAAGGCATCCACTGGTCCCTCCATACTGTGGCCACAGGTGGGGTTGTCCTGTCCTCATGTTCTCAGTGGCCCTCCAATCTGGGCAGAGCCCCGGGCACCTCCTCACTACCAGGCAGCAGGGTAGACACACTGGCTCTGACCCTTGGGCAGGCTGGGGCTCAGACCCCAGCTCTGCCTCTAGAGCTGTGTGGCTCTGGGCAGGGCAGATGGGCTGCCGCGAGGAGTCAGGGAAGGACCTGTGCCACGCTCGCCCTGCAGGGGAATGCGAGCCAGGGCCGGCCGTGGTGAGGGGGGGTCCTCTACCGCTGCCTGCCAGGTCAGCAGTTCCTCAGCTGCTGGGGTGGAGCTGGGGATGGCGCTGGCACGGAGGGCCCCACATTCAGAGCGAAACCAGTGGCTTTGCTGCTTAATCTCGGCACTCACTGGTGCTGGGACTAGCGCCAGGCCCGGAGCGGAACTGAAAGGGAGACTAGGCCTGTTCCCCTCTTGGCCTGGCCCACTTCCTCCCAGTGATCCTGAGGCCAGAGCTGGCGGGGAGGGTGGGGGCCAGGCAGGGCCCACTGCAAACGCAGGAGAAGGAAGGGAATGGCCCTTCGTACCTTACCCATTTTGCAGACAGGAAACAGGCTCTGAGAGGCTTGGCTGACTGTGAAAGCTGCCCACGCCCCATGTGCTCTGGCGTGTCCAGTGCCCTGTAGGGACTGTGGGAGACTGCTGTGCTCCCCACATCTGACTTCCAGGCTGAGAAATGAGGGTGCGGGGGCTGTGGAAGAGAAACTGGGAAGGTGAAAACGCCCTGGCTGGTGCTGGTCACTTAGGGCTGGGATTGACTGGTTGTACAACCCCTCCAAGCTGTTCCCCCGTGTGTGAGGTGTGTGAGGCTGGTGCGACAGACAGTGCAGGAAGCCCTGATAAGCACTGCTGGTTCCCCGTGTTGCCGTGACTCTCCCTGGACCGCTGTGTCCAACAGCCAGGGTGGGACTGGGATCTCCAAGGAGACCTGCTGGGGGTGGGCCTGGTCTGGGAAGAGCCCCCGTTTGACCAGTCCTCTCACCTCACTGTTCATTGGCCCTCCTGCTGGTAGGGAGGGGTTTGACGGCAGGCAGCCTGGCCCTGCGGTCACATCCTGGCCCTGCGGTCACATCCGTCTGTCAGCGCTGCCTGTTACCTGCGTGTCCACAGCATGGTTAAGGCTTTGAGGATTGGCTCTTACACCTTCAGAAAAGGCAGCCTCTGGCTAAGATGTGCCCTCTAAACAGAGGAGGTGGAGGTTGGATTCCCCCAAAGCCTGTCTCTTGTTTCCTCCTCCCCACCCCATGCTGGCTTATTAGGGGTTGTGTCCGGGCCTGACTGGCTGTCTCCCAGCCCTTGGGAAAAGAGCGGATGGAGGGAAGGGTACCCAGCTGGGCCTCCGGTGCCCATTCCCCACTTCATCTCAGGCTCTTTCCACCTTTCTTATGGTCTGTTGGCCTCTGCTGGAAGCAGCCATTGATCATCTCATGACCCCCGGAGAAACAGTCTCATCACAAGAGGAAGTGGAGGAGATGGGGGCCAATGGAGGGCTCACCTCCCTTCTAAGAAAGCTGGCTTCTGGGTCCTAGGGTGCCGCAGAGCCCCTGCTCTCTGGGATCAGGCATTGCAGGGTCAGCCCCTGCTCCAGCCAGGTTCAGTCAGGACCTAGAACGGCGGGCAAAGGAGTTGGGGACCATTTCCCACCTACTCTGAACCCTGTATCTGTTGGATGTCATGGGAGACTCCTGGATCCGAGTTATTACGTGGATTTTGGCTGGCTGTAACTCGGGTTAGCGGTGTCAGGCTCTGCCCCTTTGAGCACACTGGCAGAAGCCCCAAAAGCCTGTGGCTAAGCCACTCTGCCAACGCCCCGCCCTTCAGCCAAAGCCGCCCCTCCTTGTCCTGAGACTTGAAGGCAGAACAGATTAGTGCATTTGAGGCTCTAGGGCTCCAAAACCTGATTTTTCCTTCCTCAGGCAAGTGATTTCACCTTTGCGATGTGGTGATAATTATCTGCTTCATGGGGCTGTCAGGCCAGTACAGGAGAGACCTGTACTGATGGGGAGTTAATGGCGGGAGGCCCGGGGGCCCTGGTAGACTCAGCACCTCAGAGGGAAACGTGGCTTGGCTGTTGTGATGAGCGGATCTAGCAGCCAGTGTGACATGGCTGCACGGGGAGCTGTTTGCTCCTGCACCAGTGAGAAGAGAAACACGTGTTAGCAGGCAAACCCATGTCAGTGCTGGACGACTGTCCACAGGTCCAGCTCAGCCCACATAGCTTTCTGGGGATCTCAGTGTGTGGGGAGTGGGGACAGTGCTTAAGAGGCAGTAGCAAAAAACCTCTGCGGGCTCCTTGAGCCCGAATGCTAGACCTTCCTCAGCAGCACCATGAGCACTCACCCACCCAGGAAGCTAGGCCCCTGGGGAGGCGGCAGAGAAACAGAGGCCTGGGGGGGAGGGGGGAACGGGACAAAGGGCCATCAGGGACGAGCCTTGAGTGTCCCACCTTGGTCTCCTAGAGTTCAAAGCCCAAGCTACAAGCAGCCTGCTCCAGCATCCAGGAGGTCCGGCGGTGCACACGCCTCGAGATGCCCGACAACCTCTACACCTTTGTGTTGAAGGTGAGTGACAGAGCTTTTCCACATCCAAGAGTAACACACACACACCTCAGGGGTCCCACACAGCCGTACCCTTCCTCCCCACCAGGTGAAGGACCGAACAGACATCATCTTTGAGGTGGGAGACGAGCAGCAGCTGAATTCATGGATGGCTGAGCTCCAGGAGTGCACAGGCCGAGGGTGAGGCCCCAGACCCTAGGGCCCCACTCGTGGCACAGCTTGACCACTACCCCGGCCGCACCCCAATCCCTAACCCCAGCCTCTTCTCCAGCAGGCTGGAGAGCACAGACCCCGAGATGCATGTTCCTTCAGCTCCAGAGCCTGGCGTGTCCAGCTCTCCCACGGGAAGCACAGATTCCCTGAACCAAGGTGAGTGCTCCCAGCTTTTCTCCTCCACATACTCCTCCACATACATCGGAGCCAGCCTCCGCTCAGGATGAAGGCACTCACAGGGGGTCATCATTACCCGTCTTCTCTACCAGGTGCTTCTCTAGGGGGCTTGCTGGACCCAGCCTGCCAGAAAACAGAGCACTTCCTGTCCTGCTACCCCTGGTTCCATGGTCCCATCTCCCGAGTGAAGGCAGCTCAGCTGGTTCAGCTGCAGGGCCCTGAAGCCCACGGAGTGTTCCTGGTACGGCAGAGTGAGACACGGCGTGGGGAATACGTACTCACGTTCAACTTCCAGGGCATAGCCAAGGTATGGGGCGAGGCCGGTGGGGCACGCCCCCTCCCCAGTTGAAGGCCCTGCGGGGCCAGCGCCTAAGCCTGCTGGCCTGTCCCCCGCAGCACCTGCGCCTGTCGCTGACCGAGCGAGGCCAGTGCCGAGTGCAGCACCTTCACTTCCCCTCGGTCGTGGACATGCTCCACCACTTCCAGCGCTCACCCATCCCACTCGAGTGCGGCGCTGCCTGTGACGTCCGGCTGTCCAGCTATGTGGTCGTCGTCTCCCAGCCACCAGGTGTGACCCCAGTGCCCCTTGCTAAGAGAGGGTGGACAGCACAGGGAACCGGGCAGAGAGGGTAAAAGCTTGCTGCAAACTTCAGGGACACGGACTCGTTTTGTGTCCTTCCGACACTGTCCCCTGCCCTGTAAGACTGACAGTGTGGTCTCTGTCACTTGTCCTCCAGGTTCCTCCAGCACGGTCCTGTTCCCTTTCTCCCTCTCTCGCTGGGATTCGGAGCTGGGCCTTCCCCGCCTTAGCTCTTCTGGCTGTCCACGGGGGCTTGGCCCAGAGGGCCTCCCAGGCCGATCCTCGCCCCCCGAGCAGATCTTCCACCTGGTGCCTTCACCTGAGGAGCTGGCCAACAGCCTGCGGCACCTGGAGCCGGAGCCTGCCAGCCGAGCCCGGGACTCCGACTACGAGATGGACTCCTCCTCCCGGAGCCACCTGCGGGCTGTAGACAATCAGTACACACCTCTCTGACAGGCCGCTAGGAGTCCCTGGCCCAGCACAGCAAGCAGAGAGCAACTTGTGAATGTTACTTTCCTTCCTTTCAGAAAGATTTAAGGGACACTGTTAACTGCTCCTTCCAGTTTGGATGTGACCCTTTATTAGGCCTGTTAAAGGGCCTCCTGTAAGTTTCATCTATCCCCTGGCTTTCTCTCATTGTTTACAGATGTAGTTCTTGTTTGCAGATGCCGCTAGCTCCTGCCCTGGGTCCCTAGGACTGGTCCCCATCACTCCTAGCGGAGGTGGCGGGGTAAGGGCCAGAACTGGCAGTGGAAACTTGTTCTTTTTCACTGACGCTGTCATAGCTGATGACAGACTTTTAAGCCCAAAACACTAACAAGCCCGATTCGCTCATGCTTTTCCTATTGTAGCTTCAGTCCATGTGGTACCTCTGCTGTACCCATGCCACAGGTGACCACCCCAAACCTGCTTTGAAGACATAGCCTTAGGACAAAGCTCTAGCAGATGGACAAGCTAAAGGTTGAAAATGATTTTAAACATTTTACCTCAGATTAATTTTTCAAACAATTCAGGTTTCAAAACTAAACCATTGCTTATTTCATTGCACTGTTTTAATTAATAACCCATGCGATTTTTATAGTCAGAGACACCTATGCAAACCCTACCTGACTAGTTCCCGGTGTGAGCCAGCATGCCTGGCTTCCTGGTCTGTTGCATCCTCAGGACAGTCACCTGCTGCTCAGTAGCAACTGTCCTTCCTAAATGTAAAGAAGTGATGTGTCACCCTTTCAGGGACATTCAGGCAATTACTGAAATAGGAGGGTGGCAAGTTACAGTTCTACCCTGGTGCCTTATGAATAAAATGGAGTTTGGTTTATAGCAGTTTTATGGTGAGAGTTAAACTAACTGAGGGGGGGGGGCAAAAAAGGAAGAAGGCCTCCTGGGCCTTCCTAGTAAATTCTTCACCTACAGGGTTGGCTTGGAGCCCCCCAGTATCTGATGGCTTATTAAATTATCCCACAAGGTTTTAGGCTCATTCCTCAGCCAAAATGGAAGCTAGGAATCTGGTGCCACAGCTAATGAGGAACTCCTTTAATGGCCCACAATCAGCGTTCTGTTCCAGCTGTTACTGCGTCACTTGATGAAGAATGCGTGTGCACGGACACACATCTCCAACAGGCAGGGAGGGCCTGCAGTCAAACCTCTATCTAGACTTCTTTCACAAGTGATACAATTCATAGGGGGGCTGGCTCCTCCCAGAACTTTCATGCGGAGGCTCAGAAACAAGGGGGGCAGTGACAGTGAAGTCAGCTGCTCCTGGGTGCCAGTAGAGCAATTCAGTACAGCCGCCAGGCTCACCCAAGTTGCGAGTTTAGCACAGCTTAATGTATATATTATAGATGCACATCGATTTTAGGCTAAAATTAAACCTTGGCCTAAAACTGAGTATTGCCTGCATTACCTGGGGTGAGTGTTTGGTCTGCTCCCTGTAGCCATTCTCTGTACTCCAAGCGGTCAGAGGTCACACGTTTGCTTCTAGAATTTTCTGGGGTTTTAGGGGAGGGGAGAGGCAAGTAACTCACCTCTTAACGGCGTTTAAAACTCACACTCCTGGGCGTTTTGAGAGCTTGTAAAGCAGGTACAACCCTGATCCAGGTTTGTGGTCCATTTCTAAGGATACTTATTTTCTACAAATCAAGCAGGTTTCTCTAAACAATGAATGCTAAGCAAAGTGTGAACCAGGGGAGCAAGCACTATTTTGAATTTCTCTTTTTAAAAGAGAAAACTCATCACAAGGTCAATGCCGACAAGTCTACTGGTGCAGATTTCCCCCTTTTCCGCACAGGAAGGGAACCAAGTAAATGCCCCCTCCCTCCTCATCTGGGATATGACATCTCCAAGCCAGGGGCACTCACTTCTGAGCAGTCTCAATATACACTTCTCAGGTGGTGCCAAACTAGAAGCTCTCACCCACTGGCTACAATGTAGAAGCTTAGATTCTGACAGAATCGGAAGTCACCCACCTCCAGACTGCTTCAGTATAAAATGCTCGAGAAAAACATTTCCTTTCTCAACGTGGCTGAGTTACCAGGATAGCTCAAGTACATTCCAACAACAAGCCCGGTGGTGGCCTGGGAAGAAACGACACTAAGCCAAATGCCTTTCCTTTCTGCTAGAGCAGATGGAGCTGGAGGAAAGCAACAGTGGGTCCCCGAGCTTGATGCCCTCAGTGACCCTGCTGGCTGTGGCCGGCGCGCCACGATGATAGCACATTCCACCACCCTTCCAGTTCTGATGTGACCACTGTTGGCAGCAAGAGGCCAAGCCAGCAGCCTCCACTGAGCTCAGGCTCTGAGTGCCAAAGGGACAGCAAACATCACAACCCCTCCAGTTATCTCTACTTACAGACAACAAGGATAGCTTGACTGCTCCCAGCACCATCACTTCCTTAATCTGACTTTAACTTTTACAAACTACTAACAGTCACCAGCACCAAAGAATTAAGTCAACTAACCTGCCTTGAATTTTAGACCAGCAATCCATATGGCTTTATCTGGTATAAATCTTCTGCCTTTGATCATTTCTGGACCGTGTAGGAAAAAGGAATAGCAATCATTAAAATCTTAGGCCAGAGAACACTATTTTTATATAACAGTTTCTTAACCTAAAATCAAGGCCTTGAACTCTTCCCTAAGGGTTGCCTGAAATTCCTTCATGCTTTTATTCAGGGCTAAGTCTCTTATCGCAAATGTCATGTGAGCTCTAACATCTTCCACCAGCTAGAGGAACTTATAGAATATTATCCACTGCCTCTTAACAAGGACACATCTGACATCCAGTGTTTGGTTGGAATAAGCAAAACATTGTAACAAAACAAAATGAATTCATCTTCTATCATTATAGGCAGAAGGTATTTGGCAAATTTTTATGTCTTGTTTATGTACTGTACAAGTAACTTATTCTTGAATGCAAATTTTGCTACAATGTACAAATCGCTACATGTGAATTAAAAAAGTTTGCAGAATCTTGATTTGTTGCCACAATATTTAAAAGCTATCTATTATGACTATGGTCTCCACAGAATCCTTGCCTTTCCCTTTGTCCTCCCCCACAAATTGGGGACATTAACAAATGCTTATGAGTCTATAGCAGTAAGCTGCTTTGTATATCACTGCAGCTTTTCTGCCCTCTGAGTTGATCAGTTTTTTAAAGTGTCTCCTGCCCCCTACTGGTAAAACAGACAGATGCCTGAGTCAGGAAAACTTCTATCGACACTCTTTTGGGTTCAGGAGAATTAAAAAGAAAGCTTACAGAATCAGCATCAGGCTGAGGACGTGGAATTTCAGCGCTGCCCAACTCTGGCCAGCCTTCCTCCTTCTGAAGCAGACCTCTATCCACCAAAGAGAATATCTCAGTCTTGTCTTTTTCTAGAGATACCTTGAACCAGAACTAAAGGTGAAGAAGAAAAATCATTTGACAACTAACCTTCCAGGAGATTAAGAAAGCACCCTCAGCCCTCCTGCCTGGATATTAACTAGTAGCTTATACAAACACACACTAAC